AAGTGTGCTTGCACAGACCCACAGTCCTAACACCGAATAGGCTCGGACACCAAGGGACACCGGAGTCTGTCGAACCACAACCAGAACATGAAAAGACGTTGAAGTGCCACCCGAAGCCGGAAGTACCCCCTGACGCTAAAGTGCCACTACCGGACACCACTTCACACACCAAGAGGGCTGTCAGTGGACCACCCTGACATTGGGGACATGTTGACGAGTTATGACATTGCAAAACTTTCAGGTGACATTTTAAATGGTCATCTTTAAGGACGATCAGACCATTGTACTTTACTCAAATTCTATATGAATCATTTCAACTGGGCTAGGCCCCGTTTTTTCACTTTCTCGATTTTTCCACGTAAAAAATATTGCATTATCTTGTGTGTGAGCTAGATATTCATGCCAACACTAAGACGTATAATTATAGCTCCATCGTTGCGTATATTCTAGCCCGCAATAACTATTTCAAACAAACCCTTAGTCTTTTAAGAAAACAATAATGAAAATATATAATTCTTATTCTTCATATATAATATTAAGATGCTGCCATCATCTTTATAAAAAAAATTTTCAAAAACATAAAAATAAAAAGTATCATCTTTATTATTTTGTAAATGAAATAATTAATTTTTTTAACTTTTAAACTAATAATTATTAAATTCAAGTAATTTATTTTTTTTGAATATTTGAGTTTATAATTTATTTAATTTATTATTATTATATTATGTTTGTATTCCATACATCTATATCAAACTCAATCAATAGATATGCTTTTACTTGAAACAACTAAAAACCAAGAAGTTGATGTATGGTGTGAAAAGCACATGTGTTGACATTACCATTTAATAGGCATGGCTTACTCTTTCATCACTGTCATTATCATCAATGTCATCATCTTCTTCATCATCATCCTATAAATTTTCAAAGCTTTTCAATTCCTTTGGGAGAGCTTTCTTCCTACTTTTTAAAGTCTTTTTTTATTTATAAAAATTATCTTTAAAAACAGTAAGAAAATCATCCCAAATAAAAACTAATGATTTGTACAAATAAAAACCTATTTTCACTTATTATAGTTTTTTAATCAATCCCTCTTTTATTTTGAGAATAAGGTATCAATATTTATAATTTATTACATTAAGGATATTTTAAGAATTTCTAATATATTTTATTATATGTATATGCCTTAAACTTTTATTTATGAAAAAGAGGTGTATAAGAGGAATTAGGTTAATGAAATTTTTATATGTTACATTTCCTTTTTTTTTTTCTATTTTTATTTAGTTTTAGAGGGCGGGATTTAGGTAAAATATGATAAACTTACATACACATCACATAGGCAAGAGTTAATCCAAGAACTCTTAATTTATAGTTAAAGCACCCATGCTTAGGTTTAAACTTTAAGGGTTCGTTTTGAGATAGCTTTCCTAATGCTTTCTTAAATGATTTTAGTTATAAAATTTTTTGAATTAGAATATTTGTACAAAAATGTTTTAGAAAACAATGAGAAGTTATTCCAAATAAAAACTTTAATCATTGATTGGAAAAAGTTTAATTTCAAATTAAAATTTGAATGTCCCAAAAAAAAATTTAAAATTTTGGGGATTTACATACATGCGCTTTATATCATGATATTTATTACATATCGAATACAAACTCTTTAATATTTCACTAATAATGATTAGTTACAATATTTAATATAAAAACTTTAATATTTCATATCTAATCATTCATAGATAACTTTACAATATCAATATGTCACTTCAATATCTCATTTAATAATACACATACTCATCCTACAAATTTTTAATATTTCATTCATTACACTCATACTTGATCTATGAGTGTTATGTATGAAAATATTAAATTTTGGATGTTAGATATAATAATTGAATTAAAGGAGATAATTTATGGTAATCTTCCTTATAATGATGTAGAGATTTGTACTATTCCCTAATTAGTTTGTATAAGAGCCTTATGATTGATTTGAGTTGTCTTAATCCATAGTATATCAAGGAATTTAGCGATTTGTTGCTACGACAAAATACTATAATATAATATATTATTATAGTATTAATTATATAATATAATATAAATATATAGTATATAATATATATATATATATAATTATATATAATTCTTTTTTACGAGTTAAAGTCATCGCTTTTAAAGATAAAAACAATAAAAGAAAAAAAACACAAAAAAAAAAAAAAAAAAATAAAAAAAAAAAAAAAAGAAAAAAAAAAAAAAAAAAAAAAAAAAAAAAAAAAAAAAAAAAAAAACATGTAAAATTTAAAATCTCGATGTAATATATAATTACATTTAATCAATTAATGAATTTTTCAAATATATTATTTAAAAAAATATATAATTTTTAAATTAAATCAACTAAATGACCTGCGCCTGCGCAAGAGTCGAAAAAATAAAAAATAAAAAAAATTCACTGGAAAAATAAGGATGGCGTCGCCCGGGTTCGAACCGGAGACCTTCAGTGTGTTAGACTGACGTGATAACCAACTACACCACGACACCATATTTTAATTATGTTCACAAAAGTAGTTTTTTAATCAGCTAATGGTAAAGAGTGAGATTTTAGGTTTCTTTTTTGACGACCTTTTTATTATTTCTTAAATTAGCTTTCTGGTATAAAATTTTTAATTTTTGCACTAAAAAAGTAGTTTATGAAGCAATAAGAATGTCGTCCCAAACGAAACCTTAGTCTTCGACATTTGAAAGTTTTTTTTTTTTCAGGGACATTTAGGCCAATTATGACAAATTCATACACACATCTCATACACAAGATTGATATTCAATATATTTTGATTGGAATTCAAAGCTCTGAACAAACAGATCAAAATGAGTTGTAAATGCCAATGAACAAATCGTGCAATAGCCACGGGATACCGGAAAGAAGTAGGAAAATATGGCAAGTGACCAAAAAATGAGTGCTTGCTAGGATGGGTAAGACCATAGCGCGCTAGCTGGAAAGAGCATATGAGCGAATATTTGGTTGGTTAAAAAAGGATTGTCGTGTATTTGAAATATTTTAGAGTTGTTCGATAAGGATAAAATAAATGCATGTGATAATTTTATTTATTTGAAGTAAAATAAATACAATACAAAGTTTAAAGATAATGGTGATTAATAACCGACAATTGCGGTGGTGGATGACAAAAAAGGGTTGGAGGTAGTAGATAATGATGATTGATGGTGGTAGTAGTATGTGATGATAAGTGGCATAATAATGGTGGCTAGAGACAGGTGGCGGCGACGACAATGAACAAAGACGAGGGCGGTGGGGGATGGCTAGCATCTGTGGCAACGGGTGTTTATGGCGATGGAAAAGATGATTACAAGATGCAACAAGAGCAATAAATTTATAGTATATTTGAAAATCGCCTAAATCTGATGAAATTCCAAATACATTAAATTTATAAAAGACTAACATTTCAAATACATCAAAATTTGCTCGTTGTTTTCTATATTTTTTTGTGGTTTGAATTTGATTTTTATAACAAGAGTTGCTGATATGTGGTAGCTTTAAGAAAAGAGTTGTTCGATTAAAAAAAAAACATATTTATAATATTAACAGTCGATTTCCAAGAAGTTGTTTTTCAAATAATAATAGCTTCACAATCACTTTCTAAAACGCTTAAGCACTGTCAAACAAACCCAAATATATATTATTGGACAAAAATCTTAATTTTAATAAACACATTGTTTTTAATTTAAAATATAAATGTAATTTTCTATTTGGATTGGTGAAGTTTTTGTAAAAATGATTATAAAACCAATGTGGTAAGGCAATATTTTTGAAAGCTATTGTGAAAATCAATTTTATAGTACATAATTTTTAAAAAATAGTAAGAAATTAATAGACAAACAAAATTTTAGTTGCGCTCCAAAAAAGTAGAGCATGAAAAAAGCTATCCTAAATAGAGCTTAAATTAAAGGTATCAATAAATGACCCAACTCGAACCTGGGCTGAAAAATTCAAATGCGGGTTGACCAGTTTAATAGTGGGGCGAAGTTCGGGTCATGTATTTCGAACTGTTTATTAAACATGTCAAATTCGGGTTGACCCGACAATCCTATTTTGACTCAAAAAATGACTCATTTAATATTATTTTCCTTAAAAATATTTTTAAGGGTCTTATCTAAGAATTGCTACAATAAGTTAATCAATGAAATTTTCAATTTCATCCCACTTTTCTTATGTAATTGCCGTTTATTCTCATAATCAGTTAATCACATCCTCATAGTTCTAAGAACAAAAATCAGCTAGATTTTTAGATTAAAATTTGTTCATAGATAACATCAGAACATACTAGCTATCATGAAATATTTAGAAACGTGAGAACAAAGATCGAGAGAGACATGAAGAAATTCTGAAAAGAAGCTCAGAATTTTCTTTTTCTTAGGAAGTTAGAGATTTGATCATTAAAAAAAATTTGTTAAATGTAACTCTTTTATTAAATTAGATAAGCATCAGTGATTTCCGAATAAATAATGAATCTATATGAGGCCAATGGCTGACTTAAGCTTTGTTTGTGATAGCTTTCTTACTACTTTCTAAAACTATTTTTTAGTAATAAAAATTTCTATTTCAAAAAAAAATTGTCTTAGAAAGCAGTAAGAAAACTATACCAAACGAAACCTTAACTTAAGGTTGGCCAAATTTTGGTGAGTACATATTCTGTTCATCTTCTATGGCTGAATGTGTCGATGAATTGCTTTTGTCGGCTTGAGATTTCATTTGGGACAAATTCTTATTGCTTCTTAAAGCAATTTTTAAATAAAAAAATTTCAAATTTTTATACTAAAAAACTGCTTGAAGAAGCAATAAAAAAGCCGTCCCAAGCAAAGCCTGAATTACTCTATATAATCTACTATTGGGCTTGGTATGTTCACTATAGAGATGACTCTAAAAACTTCAGAAAGAGTAAATAATCTATTTAAGAGAGAAAAACATAAATGTACATAACATAACAAATATTAGCTTCCAGAAAACGAGCAAACTTCAGATGACTAGTAATATTTTGATATATAATCTTCCACAAAAATGTACATAGAAAAAATATTTTTCCTTGTAAAATAACGCTACAGGCTATATGCCTAGAGACATTTGACACTAGTTCATGTCCTGATTGTTTCGTAATGGCACAGCAATTACAGGTATCAGAGTATCAGAACAGAAGAATCATTTTTTTCCTGTGGTTACTCCAACTACAACATTGGTCACCTATATAATTGATAAATAAATAAAATAAAGTTTTTTTTTTCACTATAGACTTATAATGGAAACAGTCGGAACTGTAAATCAAAATGTAGGAAAGAAATCGTACCAGCTTGCCGCTTTGGTCCATTGACATAGGATTCTCAACAACAACAGTCTGGTTGTTCGAGTTTGGCAATGGCTGCAAGCATAGAAAAGAAGAAGCAGGTCAGTAAATAATGTAAGACTATGAGATGTTGTAGATAGGATTGTCATAAAAGATCATAATTTGCGTTCAATCCTATCAGCTTGATTGCTTTAGCTCAATAATGGCTTAATTATGTTTATATATATGGTGATATGTATATTATATGGCTTTTAAGTCGATTTTATGTTCATGAATGGCAAGTTAACTAGCCAAATACAGATAACAATATTTTAGCTCGTATACATAACAAACAAGAGAAAAGTCCGCCTCAAACTTAAGGGAAAATTCTATAAGATGAGTGGTGAGACCTGCAATGCTTTATGGTGCAAAAATGTCGGCCATTAAAAGAGAAGCATAATACTAAGTTAAGTGTTGCAGAGATTAGGATGCTTAGGTGGATGACTGGCTTTACTCTTAGAGATATGATACTAAATGATCATATACATGAAAAGGGTGGAGTAGCTCCAGTGGATGATAAGATAAGAGAGAGTCTCCTTAGATGATTTGGTCATATTAAATGGAGACCTTCCGATGACCCAGTTAGAAAAGTTGAGGTATTAGATTTGACTTATGTATTGAAAGGTAGAGGTAGACCTAAAAAGACTTAGTTAGAAAATATTAGAAATGATATTTTTTTATTAGATTTAAATGAGAATTTAACTTTTAGCATGACACAATGGAGAAAAAGGATTCATGTAGCCGACCCCACATAGTAGGACAAAGGCTTGATGTTGTTGTTGTTGTTGTATACATAACAAACAAGCCGAGCTGAAAAAATTTGAGTTCACTCAAACTTGGCTCATTAACTCAAACTTGGCTCATTAACGCACCTAGTTGTATTGCCATCAATTTCAAAAGAAAATAAGTGGTAAAAGTATATAACATACAGCTGAAGTGGATGGATGGGTTGGGGTGGCTCCATTTGGCATGTTTACTAGGATTGGCACCATTCCACTATTTGTCTGCACAATAAGAAAATCAGAATCAAAACAAATGCTTTTATGAGGTTAAAGAAAGAACTGTACAAGTTGTTAGTCTTACCGCAACACTAGTAACAAAATTGCATAACGCACATTTAACACAAGGTGCTCCATGAGGATACACAAGCATTGTATGGCACTGGGCACAGTTCACATGAGCAAGTTGATTTGCTGCGTAAATTGAATGATATAACATTAATCTTTAGAAGGATAGAAGTGCAACAAATACACAAATATTCAGTGCTGAATTCACGAAGTGATGAGCACATGATATTTGAAAAAACCGAATCAATAATACTTTGAAGTGGGTTTTTATTATCTCAGAATTTAGAAATCACAACTTTATGTTTGAAGTTCTATCTAAGACGACATATAATTTTGAAACTCTCCATGAATCCATTGAACAGATGCAGATGAGGCTTCAGACTCTAGAAATCAATTGGAAACGTAAAACCTAGTGGAGGAAAGGACATCCAAAGATAATAGAAAACTCATGGGAAAGGGGAGCACCATTTTGATACGTAGTTAGCAAGAAAATAGCTTACATAAAGGTTACAACAACAACAAACACAAGCTTGTTTATTGTTGATCACCTGGATAGAACAAAAGAAAGCACTAGAGCATCTGAGTAAAAGTTGATTACCAATTTCTGTTAGATAACTTGAATAAGTCAAATAATTAATCAATAGTGATCAAAGTGAAAAGTGAAAACTATTAGGACTTCCTGATATAAAGTCCTAGCCATGGGTATGATTTACCTCACTACTGGATTTGCCAGCCCTGACATGAAAAGTTTAGGTGTAGTTGTGCATATTCGACTTTAGGCCCCTACAGTTTGTTCAATTCCGCTTTTGCCACTCTTTTTGGTTTCCTGTTTCATTCTTCCTTCAGTGGAGTTCGAGCAAGGAAGAAATAAAAAATCGTAAAGAATAATTCTTCATTCCTATGTTTAGGTTCACTTAAAATAAATACAATTTTGAAACCCATTAGATTCATATTTTTTACGACCCAAGAAAATTTCATATATTCCTTCTAAATCATACAAGCATACATGTTTTCTGCACATCCTCTTCAGAGATAACAGAAGTACCTCAATGAAATACATGTGCAACCACAGAATTAAGAACATTCTCCAGATTGAAAAAAGAAAGTTAAAGATAACACTAGTATATAACAAAAAAATGCTTAAGAAATTGCCAAGGAAAATCAAAGTTTCCTGTTTTTATGTTTTAATCATATCCTCAAATCCTGATAAAAAGGTTGTCTTATTATTGGGAGCAAGTTAACAGCTACATTGTGCCTAACAACACAGTGGTACACAAAGGGGATGCCTTTAGGCTGTTTATTGAATAATTTTTCAAAGAGGCTACCATAATCACCTTTCTTGTGATAATTATACAAAATTAACCTCAGATTCGACACTATCTACTGTAGCACACTCAAAAGTGATATCAGTACTCAATTATAGAAGTATTACCGCAAAAGAAGACTGAAAAAAGTCGTGTATCGTCATCAAACAATTAGATGAGTAGAGGCATCTCAAATTAAGTAAAATAGGATGGTCAAATAACATAAACTCTTAATAAAGTTAAGAAAGCATGGATAACTGCAATTTGTGTTGGTTGACTTGGTTCTCACCATTCAAGCATCAAAAGCATGTAGATATTTAATATGAATTCAAGACTAAAAAATTTTCATACCAGATCTAGCATGATTTATGGTGTTACAACAGGAACACCGGACGCTTGTTGCACCCCGAGCATACATTAGCATTCTATGACAACCTCCACAAACAAGTTGGGCTGCATCTGTATCATCAAACAATTCTGTCATACCATTAATTCTAAATAGAAAATACTAAGAGTAGGTGAATTCTTTTCATACAATGGATGATGCTATCAAAGTTGATAATAGCAATTGCACCATAATATTATGCATAAGATTAGTATAATAAAGGTATGGATAATCTTATTATGGCCGACAGCAATCCCATAAACACTAAAGACTGTAAAACAAGAGAAAGACTGATACAAAATGTAAAATATGTTGAAATCTCCATAAAATTTCACATTCATGATGACCGATAGCATCACTGATGCCAAAAGAAAGAAAAATGGCTGGTACAAACATAATCATTAGTGATTTCCCAACTGTCCATCATCAGGTATTACACTTATCAACTTTTCCCAATTTTCAAAAATTTGTGCCAGAAGCTAGCGTATTCACCAGCGAAGTGATTCTCCTACAGAAAGACAACTGCCCGCACCATATCTTACTAGACTGAAGAGTGAAGATACAGCACTTCTTGTAACATTAGGAATCATGAAGGACATGCCACACTTGTATAAGTAACAGAACTCCAATATATTTTTATTGATGCAGCTTATCCAGTAAAAAAATGACACTATAATTCAACAGGTCAAAGTGAAATAAGACAGTTTGGATAACGATCAAGTTAACTCTTGCCTTTCATTTATAATTAAGGCTTTCGCAAGGACATGCATATAGCTTAAATTGGATAAAGAAAGAAAAAAAAAAAAGAGATATTTCCTAATTAGAGATGGCTGATTTGCGAGGAAATTGAGGGACCGTTGTTTTGGAATTTTTTGTTGCATTGTTTGCGATAAGTAGTAGGATTTATGTTATGTTTGTATACAAAATTTGATTTGAGAGTGTTGTAGCATTCTTTTTGTGAGGGATCCTAGCGGCGTCTAGGGTTTGGGAGAAAATGTCATCCTCTCAAAAGAGGATCATTGTTTCTTGCTTTGTTCGTATTTGATTTTCTATCAATATAAATCTGTTTTTGTGTTGAATCTCTTGGAGTTTGTTGCTACTTTTCATATCAAGGCGCATCAATGTCCTATTATCGTCGAGTGGCTTCTAGATTAGTTTAGGATTAAGTGGACCATGGATGGTTTAGCTAAACCCACGGCCTACCTAAGGATATTTTTTAATTAGCTTTTGGTTTTAACTTCAACCCTTTACAAATATATTTGGACGGGTTTATAGAAAGTAGCCGAAGATTTTTTTTTAGAATGGGGCTTACTGCTCTATTTATGAGTTGCACAAAGATGGATCTTACAACCCGACTCTACAGCGAGGCTGCCCGAGGATTTTAAATTTTATTTTTTAGTTAGATTTGGATTTTAGGGTCATTTGCAATTCATTTAACAATTCTCCAAAACGTGGGTCTTATGGCTTCACTTAAAAGTTGGCCGTTAATTTATTTAGTTTGGGGCTTACGGCTCCAAATAGGAGTTACCCGTGTGATTTTGATTTGGATAGGGACTTATGGCTTCCTTAGAAGTTGCCGGTTAATTTATTTAGTTTGAGGCTTACGGCTCCAATTAGGAGTTGCCCGTGTGAAATCATCCTCGTCAATCCAAAGCCCAAATAAGAGAGATTGAAAATTGATGTTAGGTTAACTATATCATATAATTTAGGCCAAAAATGCATGAAATGTATCTTAATTGCATTAGTTAGTGCCAAGGAGTAGAAAGTACACAAAAATTGGCTAGGAAATTAGCAATATAATATGCACAACTTCAATGAAAATTACGTGAGGTTTGGTTGGGGCCCTAATCAAAAGTGAGGGGCCACAAGCCAACTCAATTGTATTAAAAAATAAGTACAGGTTAATTAGATCCAAAATAACGAGCAAATTTGTTACATGGAATTTAAGGAACTTCAATAAAATATTAGTATACACGAAGATAAAAAAAAAAATACTATTGTAAATTTGAAAGAAACGAATGAAAGGAAAAAAAAAATACAAAGACAACTAGGAAACTTTATTGGATATTATATAACGAGAATGACAGAAGGAATGAACTGGAGAGAACAGTGGATAAATGGATAAAAAAAATTGTTGAGGTCATAGGGTTAATGATGTTATAAATGAACTTGATGCTTATACTGTCAAGATGTAAAATAGTTTTTAAAACAAAAACAAAAATTTAGTAAGAAAATGGATGGATAATTGCAATAGATATCTCATGAAAAGGAAAGAATCATTGGTGATGGTTGAAATGGACATGCGGATTGTGGGATGTATTACAAGTGGATTAATGACAAATATGGAATAGAAGAAAGTATCGTTATGGGAGAAGCTATATTAGATTTCATAATTGCATAAGATCTTGCAATAATAAAAACATAAATTGAGAAATGATTAAATACTTGGTTACCGTTGAAAGTGAAGTTGCCAAATAACAAACCTTCTATACATTTGGAAAGAAAAAATTCTTTTGCTGCAAATAATATAAGGTAATATTATAAGGTAATATGAGGATAAAATTTGAACACGTAATATGGACTTGTAGTTTGAGGTATATCTATAAGTAATAATCAGAAGAAAGAATTTCCTAGGATAAATTTGTGAAACATAAAAAATAAGAAGTTATTCATTTTGTAAGATAGAAAATTGTAACTTCAAAGCTGAGCCAAACGGCATGAGTAAATCAAAAGAAATAATTTCTTAGCATGATTTTTTCTCCAGATTGATCTAAAAAAGTGAATTCAAGTAAACTTTGAAGATGTGTCAAGTCAATGGTAAAGTTCCAAATGATACGTTTATAAAGATTTTAAGAGTTATGTATGATGTTCGACTAGTTTGAGCAATATTTTTTTTCAAAGAGATCTTAAAGACTAAGGGTGCCAAATAATTAAAAAAAAAGTATTCTTGTTGTAGCGTTTTTTAAAATAAGACGCCTAAAATTATGATATTTATATTTATGAGTCATCTAAAAATTTTATGAGAGGGTATTGAAACATAAGCTTACAAAAATCATGTTTGGTTTTTTGTGCCAAGATTGTTAATGTAATTATATAGAGTAATGAAAGCATAATAATATGGCCTTTAATAATCTTGAAAAGATATGAACAAATGCCAGACTTGATTTTGTGGGCACTAAAGAAAAGAATGTGTATAAGATTATGTGGTAGGCATCAAAAAAATGTACGATAAAATAGTGACTATTATTAGAATTAGTTGCGGAATGATGAGTCTCCGATCAAATAGGGTTTTTTGTATTAGCAATGTTGATGCTTGCAAAAGATACAATCTCAGATATCTTGATAAGATGCCGGCTGAGGTTTGGAGAATAATGAAAGATGTCGGAATATTTGGGTTAACAAACTTCATATAATTTTGAAGAGATATGTGAATAAATAACGTGAGAAATGATTTTGTGGTGAAAAAGAGAAAAAAGTGTATTAAGTTGCACTAAAGTTACAAAGATATGCATAATGGTGCAATGACTGTATTGAGAGTAGTTGTAAAGTGAATAAAGAGCTTCTAATCAAATAGGATTACATCAAGATCAACGTCGAGACAATATCTTTATATTTTTTAAAGAGCTGCTTACAAAAAATACACAAAACTAAGTAACTGGATTTATGCTAGATTGTTAGAGATCTTCAAGAGTAAAAATTTAACACAAAGAAGACAAATGTGTAGTACGTTCAGCTTTATCTCAACATTTGACAATCAAGTACGGAAAAATCAATACAAAAGCAAACTCCAACTAGCTCAAATGAATATTAATAATGCATCGAGTTTGCATTATCACTCAACATGAATGTATAGAGCATGTTCAGCTTCAAGACTCAACATTTGACACTCAACTACTACCAAAGTCAATACATATACATGCTCCCATTAATCCACATACATATTAAAATACAAAAGATCGATGCAATGCATCAAGTTTGCATTATCAGTTATGAATATAGAGTATAGACCTTGAAATCCACAAAAATTTAAATGACCAATAACTTTAGTTTTGTATGAAAATATATCCATATTGGATGTTGGTTGACACTGCGCAAGGTTATAAAGATAGCTAGTTGGGACTGTTGAAGGATACCTTATATTGAATAGCACCCATATACACAAGCACAACCAGGAAAATCAAATGAAACATATAAGAAATGAGTATTTGATTGGCAGAGGAAGATCAAAATTTTCTTTGTGATCAAAGCTTCTCACTGCACGTGACATATTGGCAATATAAAGCATAAGTTTGGAGTTATTAGGCATCCCTCAAGATTATCAAAAACTTTAAAAAGATATGCACTCAAATTAAGAACCTACTAAATTTGGCACGCATTTAAGTGTAAATTATATGTAGGCTCCTAAGGTTTGATTAATATAATAGCTATAATTGTATTCAAACTTATGAAAACCTTTTCACAAGTTCTTGATGTTAATTGTCTGCTCACACATTTTGCTTCAGATGTTTGGACTAATAAGGCATTGAAAGATAGGAAAAATTTCTAATATGGCAGAAATTTTAGGAATAGAAGGTTGCATGTCGTGGAGAAGGCTATTTCTATTGCTAGTTTTTCGTGGCACAGGGGTGGGGGTTGTTGGCCGGGGAGGAATGGAGGAACTTGGCAAGAAAGGAAAGATTGTGGGGTCAAAAGAAAGGCATGGGATCCCATTAAGGGGTTTGGGTTGGTTACATTTTTTATCTTATCCACACGTATTATACACAATTGTACTTTCAAAGTTTTTAATAGATAGAAATCAACTCTGAAATGAATGTGTCCAGAGGTGTCAATATTGGACCCGACCCGAAAATTTCGGATTCGGGTTCGGGTCAACCCGAACCCGAACCGGGTCTGTTCGGGTTAGGGATTTCGACCCGTTTGTAAAACTGGGTAGGGTTCGGGTTGACCCGAAAACCCGAAATCGACCCGGTTTGATCCGTTTTTAATTAATTTAGGAGGATTTTAAGGGATTTTTATGAAATAAGTAAATGATATTTCAAAAAATTATAAACATTGTTGCCCAAATTAAATTAATCTTAATTTATTTTAAATTAATTGAAGTAAATCTTACCTTAATTTGATTTAGATTTAAATAAATTGAATTAAATAAAAAAATTTAATAAAATATACCCAAAGCGAGTCGGGTTCGGAAAACTGACCCGTTTGCAAAAACGGGTCGGTTGAACACTGTCGGGTCAATTTCGGGTTGGACCCGAACCCGACCCGTGACCCGTTTTTGACAGCCCTAAATGTGTCATAGAGGATTGTCTCTACGAAATCAAAACTTTTTGTTGTCACTCTCTTGCACAAGGAAAGATACTTATTCTCATCAGCGTATAGTTGGTACTTGATACATCTAAGTATATCAATCTATAAAGAAAAATAAAATACAAAAAAACATACATAAATATAAGAAAATGTATCTCTATCACTGAACATCAACAGTGTGATTGTGTTATTTCTATAGCATGCATGAAATCGATGATTAGCTAAACATAATGGTCATGGTCAAGCAAAAACTATCAAGGGTTTCCTAACTGATGTTCAAGTGTTCAAGAAGGCATGTTCAATAAGAAAAGTGTTCTATAATTCTAATTGAAGATCCAAACACCGAGGGTCTGAATGAAAATTAAAGCAAACCTTGTGACTGCAGGAGCACTGGAGTTATTGTGTTGCATATTGCACAACGAACACTATTTGTTACACTTTCATAACGGAGTAAGCTCCTGCAACCGGAGCAGACAAGTTCACCAGGCATCTGCAATTCCAACAATCCAAAGCTAATCATAAAGCGAGAATTAAATTATTTATTGTAATGGAGATATGAAGTGATGCAGATCGATAAGTAGGGAGCAAGCACCCTGTTCAAAGAAAATTACCAGTAGCATCCATGTCAAACATTCCTGGACTAAAAAGAGTCTTATTTTTTGCTTCTGTTAATTCTTCCATGTCATTCTAGTAAAACAGATTCTTGAATCTAATGCAAGACATGTAGCACAACAGAAATAAGTGCATAACATCAACATAGCAGGACATGTAACACTGAGGAAATATGTTTTATGATCAGCATCTCACTATATCAATATGAATGCTCATAGATTTTCTTCTTCCTATGATTCAAAAGCAACCTTCTCAGGATAGCAGCAAGCAAATACACACAAGCCTACAAAAAGTAAGGGTATTTTTCATCTTAGCAATAAGAGGGTCTTCCAATCTTCTTCATGAGTGAGCTATTAAGACATGGAAACACACAAATGCCTAGCACATGTGCACATGTGTGTGAAAACATGCAAAGATTCACCATGATGTCATAATCATATACCTCTTCATCATGACATCCATACCCATAGCAAAAAAGCGCAAGAATGCAACAAACTTTTGGTATGATTTGATAAAATCTTCCGCTATAATGGCATGATAATTAAGGTTTCATGTTCTATCAAAATTGGTGGCTTATTATGTGTTTTTCATATTCAGTTAAACTTTAAAGCTCTTCCACCATATTTTCCTTTAAGACTTGGCAAAACTATTATAAAGAAGTCACACTTTATTACGTATGTTTCCATTTGAATAAATTATATTTGATTGAAGAGATAAATGATAATTTTATTTTGGGTTATTAAGTTCCAATGGATCTCTTTAATTTCCTAAAGTAACTCCTCCATCGCATATACGTTTCACATCAAATAGTGTTCTTTTATTCCATACATCCATCATTGCCTCAACATCCATTTCTCCATGTTTTCCCCCATATTCTCTCTCCCTCACCAATCCTCTTGCTTGGCATGACTTATTTGGTTTAAAACCCAACCTCAACTCTAAGCTTATGATGATGGGGCATCATGATAGCCCGTTATAAGCTTTACAACATTGAATTCCTAGTCATGTTTTTTTATAGCCACTAAATAGTGGTCAAGTAGTCAATCCATGCTATTATCAATAAATTTTCTTCCATGTGAAATCTACATATATCTATTAATTTATAATAATAATCGACACTAAATAGACTTCTTTCAAATAATTAATTAGATCTATTTAAATTATTAAATTACAAGGTTAAAAGTTACTTAAAAGTTGTCCATAAAACATAATACCACCTCATGCAACACCAAACATTATGAATAGAGGAGGATTCATTAACCCTACTCCAAATAGTTGCAAAATGGGTAATGTTGATGATGATATTTTAATGAAGAAATTTTTTCTACTATATCAAATCTCCAAAACTCTTTAAATATTCCTCTGTTCTCAATTTCAACTCCACTTACCACAAGTCCTCTTCTGTACTCACTCCTCTTAACTTATCCTCCTTACTATTCATCAGAGTCTTTGATGACACATAAAGTCATGTATTAAACATTCTCAGTTTTGCAAATGCAAGTTTTCTTTATGTTTTGCAATTTGCTTAATAAGATATATTGAGATTCTAGTCATATGATATGCTAAACCCATGTGTAAGCTAAATGTTTTTACATTATCTACTTGCATAAAAGTGAAAAAAGTGTTAAGCAGCTAGCATGTACATGAACAAAGATAGTGGGAGGGATTAGTGATGTCAGTTGCTCTTATAATTTAACATTCTAAGCGATTAATGTAGCTTTGGAAATATATAGGGGTGTGGCAGTCCAATTTCCTCGCTTCTAACCAAATTAAAACAAAAGTGGCAATTGTTTGTACATTATCATTAGTTGCAGAGACCCATTGAAGTTTGAATCTCACAAAGATATATATACCAGTGATATAATACACCTGAAAAACTTATATATCTCCCTTTGCAAATGAAAACAAAAATTTTCCCATCCATTTAAAAAAAATAACAAAGCGTAAGATGATAAAGAAAAGGATAATGCTAATATCCATATTTTAATTAATATAAAAATAGCAAGAAACAGTGAAGCTAAAGAATGAATCCCCAACATTATGGTGTGCCAATATGCAACAAAACAATGTGGCATCCCTTTTAGAGAAAATCATGAAATCTTGCACCTTTTAGAACCAGGAGAATGTGAAACAAGTGGAGGAAACGCATTATTACATTCAGTTTTCATGCCAATGCTGATGGGAATGCGTCTGTGGATGTGTTGAGGGGAGAAAATTGGTCACCTGGGCGGAAGGAAAGTTGTTTAAAATGGCCCTAGGCACTGTGCTAATTGCCTTAGCTGCCATAGCTTATGTGCCTTCAAAGCATGCCTTATATAATATCCTTTTGATCTCAATAGACTCCTTTCTATTAGATTTTTCATTACACCCAAATCCATAATTTCTCATATCACCACCCATCAGCCAAATTTTTTTGGTATGTTCACACATGTTGCCGAGGGACAACTAGGCAATTCAGTGCTGCTAAGTTTAAAGAAACTTCACGAAGAAAATTCATAACAAGAAAACCAATGCTGAATCCTGCAATTTACTTCACAAAACTAACTACATGAATTAAATTCAAACTTTAAAAGAGTAACTTTTTTCTTCCGTGAAGAACACAGGTGTAACATCAATGGAAACATTAATCATTCAACATCTATCACAACTCCAGGTAAAAATCAAACACCACTTACAACTCCAAATAGAAATTCAAAGCAAATAGAGTCGAAAATTCACCTCCGAAGAACAACGGCGTCCAATCAGTACGAGCCCGGGATTCCAAACAGGAAAATCGTGCAGATCCGCAAGACCTTGCCTTTCTGCTTCCAGCAACGATCCGGAACAAAAAAACAACAGCCCAGCAGCAAAATCACGCAGACAGTACCTTCAATTAACACGCTCAGAATCAATCGTCTCGATTTCCCTTTGCTTCTCTTCCAAGGCTAATTTGGAGACGAAACCCTATTTGTTTCTTCTTCGTTTGATTTCCTTTCCCCAAAGCGTGTTGTTGCCGTTGAGAAAATGAGAATTATAAGACTGTAAGGAGAAGAAACCGAGAAGAGAGATGATTTGATCCGTCTTACTTTGCCCCCTCACAGCTATAACATATATTGATGTTATTTGCAATTAGCCCCGTTAAAATACCTGAAATTATATAAAATTTTATGGGATTTTTTAATACATTATTTTTATCAGCAAAATCAGATATGATCAACTAAGGCCATAATCTGATCTTTGAGAATTCTTACCAATTTGAAAAAATTCATATTATGAGAACAATTTGTTATAACATTAAGATAATCTAAAGATTAAATTAATAAAAATCTAATAATTTTTTTTATTTAAATTAACAAAATCCAAATCAAAGTATTAGGAAGAACATTTTAAAAAAGTTTACTAAAATTCGACGTGTTAATGAGTTTAGCCAAGTCATGAGCTAGTTCAAATTTGACTCTCTAGTGAGCTCATGAGTTGAACTTATCAAGCCATGAGCTCAATTTCGAATTGGATTGAACTCAGCTCATCAGCTCACTAGCTAGCTTAAATAAATCAAAATTACAATTTTTTATTAATTTTTAATATATTAAGTAAAATTATGGATTAAAAAGAGTTGTACAATGGATGATATAATAATAACAATATTATTAAAATAATATTTTATATAAATTTAATTTACATATAAGTATATAATTTAATATAAACTATTTCTAATTCATGTTAAATATTTTAAAATAATATACATATATAACTAGGTTATACTTATAATTTTAAATTTAAGTATTTTCTAAATGAAATAATGACGATATAATCATCATACAAAAATATAAATGTATTACTACAAATTTTAAAAAATAAAAAGATAAAAAGAATAGTTTCTATAATTTTAAATTTAAACCAATTTTTAAATTTTATTCACATTTAATATAAATCTAATTCACATATTAATTTATAATTTTAATATAAATTATTATCAATTTATGTTCTATACTAATATATAATTTATATCTATATATTATGTATCAAATTTATTTGAATATTGTATATAATTTTTTTTTCAAAAAAAATTATCTTGAAAGTAATCCATCATGCACGCACATGATTCAACTAGTTGTTTAGTTCCACATCACTTAGAGAGATTTTTCTTATATTGTTTATGAAAGAAATAAATAAATAAATAAAAAGTAAAGTACTCGTAGTAGGAATCATGTGAGTATGATTAATTAATACTTAATATATTATTTTTAAAAAACTATGGCTAAAACAACAAAATAACTAACTTTGATGTCACTCTTTGTCTTTGCCAAACCAACAAAATTATTGAAGCTAATTTGTTTCACTAATTGTTGATACTCATTAAGGACAGATTGATATTCTTATAATTCTATACTGAGATTCAATTCAAGTTTGATCTTTTATAGCATTATTTCTTTTTGGTTTCGTTTGGGACAGTTGTTTTTACTATTTTCTAAAGTAGCTTTTTAGTGCAAAAATTTTTTTAACTAAAAAATTTTGTACTAAAAAGTTGTTTCAAAAATCAATAAGAAAATTGTCCCAAAATGAAGCCTCAATAACGAGATTAGAATGACATTCATTCATCTGTTTTATGATTTACATTAGTTTTATAGTATAAATAAAAATAAAAATTTTATTGACGCAATAGGTTTAATTTGATCTTTTGTGTTAACAAAATTTTATCAAAACTTCGACTTCGTTTGGGACAGCTTTTTTATTGTTTCGATTTTTAGACCGCAATCACCTTTATAACTTTATAAAAATTGTAACCGTCTCAAATGAATCCTTCATCTCAATTTTCATGGTTTTGCAAACTTTTTATTTACATAATTTTTCTTCAAAATTTTATGGTCTTCAATAATGCTAGTTCTTCAAAATTATATAACAATATATTTTAATAGTTTATTTATTATCATATGAGGTAAGTGATTACTTTTAATTATTTTCTATTAGAGAGAAGATAATGACAAAATAATTGTGACAAATTGTTGAAGTTGTAAAGAGCAAATTGTCCTTATTGTTGTGATTATGGCTTCACCCACAATAACATATAGATCATAGAATACAAATATTTGAATTTATTTTAATAATAAAGGATAATGTTTTGTAATATGAAAAGTATTGGAAAATGTTTGATGCTTAATTAGTGATTGTTTTTATTTTCTTAATGATTTATGGGATTATTTTCTTAGAAAAAGTATGAACTCCTTTATATAGTGGTTTGTGTCAAGCAAACATATAATTTGAACCATTTTTTGGGGCTCTTATTGGTGTTGAAGAATAATTGCCTCAATTGATGTATGGTATAATAGTTTTGGACATGCTTCTAATAAAATGTTGCATTATTGCATTCTTTCCCAATTGAAATATGATATGCTAAGGCTAATGAGCTTAATCCCTAATGTATTTCCCCCCTAGCTAAACAATTTTAATTGCTCTTTATTTCACATAATCACATGACATGGCATCCTTTTGATTGAATACATTGCAATGTGTGGGGATCCCATTCAGGCTTATTTGAGACAACTTTTTTACTGCTTCTTGAAGCAGCTTTCTAGTACAAAATTTTAATATTTATAATAAAAAACTACATCTAATAAAAAATTCGTCTCTAATGAAACCTCAGTTTCGAATATTTCTACTTCCTCAATTTAGTCAATGACAACAAGAGGTTCATATGGGTATACTTAAAACAAAATTTAGCACCATTAATGTTGTTCCAAAATTTGTTAACATGATTCATAATCAATTTGACATCACATATCTCAATTCACTTTGGCTCTATTCACATTTCCAGCTTCTCTTGAACTCGGGAGTATTATATCTGAGGGGCAACTTGTTCTCTTCAGCTTTGTTTAGATGCTATTAACTTAGATGAATAGGAAATAAACAGAGTTGGATTCATAACCAAGCCACTTTGTGTGTATTTCATTTTATTTTCTTTCACTCGAAACAAATTAATGCTTCGTTTGGGAAGGCTTTATTTCTGCTTTTTAAAGCAGCTTTTTAGTACAAAATTAAAAAAAAAATTTACTGAAAAGCTGCTTTAAGAAACATTAAGAAAGGCATCCCAAATGAAGCCTAAGCTTTCAATAATATCGTGATCATCTTCATATGATTTGTATTACTCTAACATCACTTCTTGATCCATACTTATCAAAAGTATACAACTTGAGATAAAAGAGATTTGATAACAAAACTGGTATGAAACATGAAACCAAAATTATACAATTTACAACAGTGGACTTTTAGGGGCTATTTGGTAGCAGGATTTAGGCAAACGGCCTAAAATGCAAAATCAAATCTCACGGCAAATGAAAGCCGCCGTAGACGAAAAATTCCGCCTTTTCATGCTAAATTCCCGATTTCCCAAATCTTGTTTTTTGTCGGATTTACGAAATCCATTGGCTCGAGAAGAAGAGTCCGCTTATTAGATCCCTTCTATAGCCAAACAGCCACACGGGATTTAATAAGTGATACGGCATCACAAAATTAGCTTGATCGGGTACGAATCTCGAGGCGAAAGCTAGTTGCAAACTTCAAAAATTAATTCCGAGAGCACCCCAACTCCGATTTCAGCAAGCTTATAGTCGAACTGAGCGTCTCGGAAATACGAACTCAACGACAAAAAAAGATAGATCATTTGATGTGTTTCTCTTGAGTTACCCATAGCAAATTGCTTTCATGGGTTATATACAAATTTATTGTCTCTATCTACAATAACAAAGGCAGAATACACTTCATAAAGAATAAAGAAATCACTAAAGATACAAAATAAAAATTTCATAATCATATATCTATATTTGAGGTAATATCTTACTCTCGGTTCTCAATTGCAGTGAAAGTCAATGAACCGTGTGTGTTGTTACCTGAAGATTCTGGATTTGATGAAGAGGTGGATGATGAAGATAACAACAAGTCATTTGCCTTCTTCCTTGTAACCTTCAGTTCCATGAAGTCTGCAACAAGACCAGGTTTGGTAATCTTCATGGACTCAACGTCTACTTCACCGGTCAACATCTTCACAACAGTGGACATTGTGGGTCGAAGATTTGATGAATCTTGGGTGCACAGAAGGCCAACCTTCACGAATAAGCAAGCCTTCTTGATGTCTAAGTCATCAGATAGTGTTGCATCTATGATCAACTCCAGTTTTTCTTGCTCGTAAAGTGCCCAAACCTGCAAGATAAAAACTCAATTCATGATATAAGAAGGAAAAAGAAACCAGAACTGTTACAGCATAAAATAAGAAATGGAACATGTCGCACTTACCCTTACAGATTAATCTGAAACATAATAGGTAGAGGACAGCTTAAGTTCGCGGTTCTTTTTTTGTATTTTATTATTTTCTATGATACTGAACGGAGATCTATTCTTTAAAGAAGCCACTATTATAGGTAAGTTTAATCGTGATTATGATGAACTTACCTTTCTCTTCAGAGAATAGGTAAAACATGCAAGATTAAAATTGATCATCTTATGGCATAACAAAATAAATTCCCCATATTTTTCTAAGCAATCACAAAATACCAGAAAAAATGAATTGATTTTTAAACGTGGCATCAGGGAAAAGGAATAAACAAGGAATAAAATACTGTTTTTCTAAGTAACAATCAAATCCTACAGGTTGAAACTTGTATAGTTTTAATGGTAGAAGCATGGCTCAAAGCAGTCATGGGCATTGCCAAATACACTACTTTAAGGAAGCGTGGGCACAAGCATAAGGGTTCGTTTGGGACAACTTTCTTATTGCTTTTTAAAGCAACTTTTTAGTACAAAATTTTTAATTTTTATACTAAAAAGCTGCTTTAAAAAGCAACAAAAAAGTCATCCCAAACGAAATCTAAATCTGGTTCAAACCGTCGTGCTGCTGGATCCTCTCATTCAATAAATGTATCAGAAAACATGTACAGAAGACAACAACGGTCAAAAGTCTGGCTGCATTATGTGCAAGATGGTATTCATATCAGAATCTAAGTAGGATGTAATATAGCCTCAGAAAGACTAAATGAAAAATAAATAGAATTGTAAAGAAGATGAAGCAAAAAGGATGCGATGTTCATAAAAATTTTCATCAACCATATGATATATGAGCAAAATAATCAGTGAAAGCATCTTCCTTGAAAAACTCACTCACCCTATCAAGAAGAAATTGTTCTCCATGTGGCAGTCTTGTGTTTGTATTACTTCTGCCGCTAACTATTTCCAATAGAAGAACTCCAAAACTGTAAACATCTGACTTTCGTGTAACCTGCCCGCGGATGGCATACTCAGGTGCCAAGTATCCACTATAAAACATTAGTACATCAGTAAAGACGAATAAGCATATCCCAACTCTAGGAATGCTAACTTCACCAACTTTCAGCTGCGTTTATTGTTATTTTCAGATATCCAAAAACAAGTAAATAACATGACCAGTATAAGGCTTCGTTGGGACAGCTTTTTTTTTCTGCTTCTTAAAGCACCTTTCTAATAAAAATATTAAAAAATTTGTACTAGAAAGCTGCCTTATGAAGCAATAAGAAAGCTGCTTTCTGAAGCAATAAGAAAAAGTTTTTACGGGCTTTCTTATTTGACTTTTCAAACTTTTTCTCACCAACATCACATATAATAGGACCGTAAAAACTAAAACGCATTGAAACGGAATTCACAGTATATAAACTCACGCTGTTCCTGCAACTCGAGTGCTGACATGGGTTGCATTTGGAGGTAACAGTTTTGCTAAACCAAAATCTGATATCTTGGGAGTGAGATCTTTGTCAAGAAGAATATTGCTTGCTTTGATATCACGATGAACTATGTGGGGTTCAACTTCCTCATGAAGGAATGCAAGCCCACGTGCTACTCCAATGCAGATTTTACATCTTGTTTTCCAGCTAAACTGAATGTTACTGCGGTTAGCACCTAAGAGCAAGAAAAATGAAATAACTTTATAGGGATTAATCAAAGAGAAAACTCAGACTTCATTATATTACCGTTAATAATCCTTATTTAAATTACCAAGAAGAGTTTGAGCGAGACTATTGTTCTCAAGATAATTGTAGACAAGTATTCTGTAATCTCCTTCCATGCAGGCACCATATAACTTGACAAGGTTCTCATGCACTATATCTGTTATTGCAGCAATCTCTGATAAGAATTCCTTCGCTCCTTGTGTTGACTCAGTTGACAGCACTTTTACAGCAATATTAGTCCCATTCGAAAGTGTTCCCTACAGCAATCAATCAAAAACCTAAATAACGGTACTCTCTTAAAACTTAGATGCTGCTAATTTTACAAGAAAATATAGTCACCTTAAAGACAGGTCCAAAGCCTCCTTTGCCCACTTTATTGCCTGGACTGAAGTCTTCAGTAGCTGCTTTTAATTCTTCAAAAGAGTATAATTTTACATTTCCCGCAACTGAAATTTATAAAATCAAAACCAAAACATTATTTCGAAAGAAGAATTAGATATCCTAATAATTTACCACATCAAAATACAATGAGAATAAAGCATGCTACAGGACTTCTCAGAGTTGAGATTTTCTAATGTAACTAATATGATGAATAGTATACTTTCACAAAAAAAAAAGAGGTTCACAAAATCACAAATTACCAATAAATCCAATAACGCACTTTCTATAAATGAAATCACGAAATACTAGAATTTAAGAACAATTCATAATGAAATTATCAAAAATATCCAAGAATTTCAACCAGAAATAAGAAACAGACATGAATACTTTAATACATTTTGTATAGATTTTTGAAACAAATAAAATCTATGAGCAAATTAAATTAATTTCAACAACTCAAATCTTTGACATCACTTTTTTATCACAATGAATGAATTTATCGAATTTAAAAAAATAAAAAATAAAAATAAAAACCTCAAACCAATATAAAGAAAACTTATTCCTCAAAATCATAAAGTCCGAGTAGTAGCACACTCAAATAAATTGCACATCAAATTTATATTTACAAGATTGAAAACTAGGAAAAAAAATTACCCAGGGCAAAAGTTGTGAATTTCATGCCATAGACCTGATGAGGACATCCGACCTTGGAGAGTCTACCAGAGACGGGGCTGTCGATCTACAGCCACGATTGCATCGCTTTACTTATTATTATTGTATTAGATTTATTATTGATGAATTAGTTTATTATGTTTATGAGTTTTATTGTACCTTTCCTTTTATACCCTCACTTGAGGGCCTAGTCATGAGTATGCCCTAGGGGTAAGTTGGTATTTTGTATTTTCTTCATTGTATTGGCTATTTAAAGCCTCCTCCTCCTTTGAGAGGATGGTGATTATTGAAAATAGAAATTCTGCACTTATGTCTTTGGTAAGGTTTGAGAGCTCTAGTGAAAGAAGTCCCTAGGTGAGGGCAACAAATCACCCACCAGCTGCAGGAAAAGTCCAGGCTCGTGGTCTATCTCTTCTTCTTCCTCCCTATCGCCGGCCACCCCTCCTTTTTCTTCCATATACCGCCGGCCAAGCCCCCTAGCAGCTGACCAAAACCAAAAGGTACCCAACTCCTCCACCGCCAGCCAATCAGCACCCCCCCCCCCCCCCCCCCCCCCCAATTCCACTACCAACCCTAGCAGCTAGCTCCTAGTCTCTTTCCCTCCTTAACTTCCCTCTTTCCTAAATTAGTTTGATATTAATTTGGAAAGATTTGAATTCAAATTCAAATCCTTTCTTAAATTAATTAATATATTTTAAAACCCCCTTCCCTCCCCCCTTCAATCTTGGATTGATTAAAATCTGAGATTAATTAGCATTAATTGCCCCTCCACACTCAATGAATGTGGACACCTCTCTCTCATCTCTCTTGGCCGGTCCCATTCCTCTCCTATTTTAATTAATTTTTTCCCAAAATTGGAACTCCAATTAAGAAATTAATTAAGTACCCTTTCCCTCCCTTCCACAATTAATTTAGGAATTTGAAACTCAAATTTCCCTCCCCTTTCTCCACTAAAATATGAACCAAAAGTCACCTAGCCCTCCCAAACAAAATCTGAATTACTTTCCCTCCCGCTTACACTATTACCAGAGGTTCTTGACATCGGAAAGCTGCTGCCCTGTGTTCCAAAAGCAGCCCACTTGTTGTTCCGCTGCAGCAAGGTTCCCTGTTGCTATCCTGAAGATCCCTAACTGCTGTCCAGAGGTTCCAGCAGTTTCTATTACTATCCTGCCGTCCGGAAGGTTCCTATTTGCTGCCCGGAAGGCTCCATACAGCTGTCCTCACAAAAAACTTCCTCGAAATCAGCCGCCAAGACTCCGGATCTTCCTTCTCGCACATCAAATCAAGCCTACTAACTTGACGAAGGTGAACTCTTCCTCCAAATCTTATATCTTCCTAATTGCTCCCAATTGTAGCATTAATTGATTCATAAAGATCATGTTAACTCCCTCGACTAAGCCTAGTAATTTAGAGAGTGAGCGAGTGGATCCACGTAGTGACTAATCTCATTGTTAATTTAGGGATTTCTCGTTGAAAATCCTTCATGTATGCTATGATTGAATAATTGATTATTTTGTGATCTTAACTTCTAGTTGTGTGACTTGGCCTAAGCTAGTTTCAACCCTCTTTCGTTTTCATTCATTGTTTAAAATCACTACAAATTTAATATTTAATATTGCTCTCAAATAAAAGCGTGCAACTTCTTATATTTAGCATTGCCTAAGCATTTAAGTCCTACATCAAGACCACTATTTATAAACCCCTCGTAACCTGACCTAGTATATAATGTTCGTGCGAGGTCAATTTCAATTTAATTTTAAATTAATTTCACCCAAAAAAATTACCCAATTTGTACTGCACTCAAATGACTTGCTCATCAAACTTATATTCATAAGATTGAAAACTAGGAAAAAAATTACCCAGGTCAAAAGTTGTGAATTTCATGTCGTAGACCACTATTTACATATTCAAGTTCAAAAATCACCCCTAGTAACCTAACCTAGTATATAATGTTTGTACGGGGATCATTTTCAATTTAAGTTTAAATTAATTTCACCATAAAATTATCCATTTTGGATTAAAATCTCCAAACTCAACCAATAGTTAACACAGACCTTAATTAAATTTCAAAGATCCCTATGCCAGTCGAATGCAAATAGCACCACCATTACAATAACTGCTGTACTAACCACAGATACAATAACCAACAGATACAATGTCGCAGCCTCAAGAATGTTGTTAGTCATCATTTATTTCTTTTTTCGTTTTTTTCAAAATTACAAACGCCACCATTGCACCGCCTATGGGCATAACATGCTCACCTTCACAGGGTCGGAAAGTCTCTTTCTCCAAAGTCCCTTTTCTTCGAGAAAAGGACAAACAACAACCCATAACTGTGGATTAATAGAAAATTGCAGCTTATATCGGCTTAGAACCCCTGCAAAATTAAATCAGATCATTCAGAACGACATAATCCAGATTTATTTTGGATTCAGTGTACTTTTTTAAATAAGAATTTGATTTGAGAGGAACTGAGTTTGTGCATTTTAGAAATGGAATCAATGCTAGTATCCACAACTGTTTGATGAAAATCAGTACAAAACGACCATGGTTTTATGACAGCTCACAGTTTTAATTACGTGCCAATTGCCCCAGAAATAAATATTAGATTGCTGGAAGCATTTCTATTTGTGTGAAACTAGAAGACTCTTGTCCTCAACAAATAATCTTTGACTGGAATTTAAAATACCGAATGGTGAGACTTAGGTCAGATAAATTAAGAACCCAAATCCACATCCTTGAAGAAAAGGAAATGTTTAAAATCAATATTTGAGGATGAAAGAAAGCTTGCAGCAAACGAGCAATGGAGTCCATATTCAAGTTCAAATCAGTCATTAACTAGTTAGCAAAAAAAATCAAAATTGTTTGCTTCTATAAAAAAATTCTTGTTTTTTATAATTATTGTGTATTAAGTGGTTTTCCTCATTTCATAAAAGCATATTTTTTACTTAATAAACTTTTGATGATTATTTTTTAACTCTCCTGAAACTTCTATAGACGACATCTTTCTGAGCAAAATTAACCATTTTATCTCATATAAAATTTGATTCAACTTTGAAGTTCTAATTTGCTATCTATCATAGGATATTGGAAATTCAATAACCCCACATATTTTAAATTCAAGTACTATCTAAAGGTCCTAATTTCTTTTGATTACTTTCTTTATATTTCTAAGATATACATGCAAATTTACTTTGTTGGGTGTTTAAACTTTCTATTGAAGTTATCTTAGAAAAGTATCCATAAAGCATCCAATTTCACTAGCAAATGCCATATTGGATAATTTTAGCCTAATTCACAATATCTAGATTATGCCACCCATTTAACATGAAGCAATTGGAAAAAGGTGCATCAAACCCTTCTGCATGCACACCTACAACCGGAGGAAACTTATAATTTCCACATAGCCACAAATCTCCAAACCAAGGGTCTTCTCCATCGCACCAAGCTCCGTAATGCCAAAACTCCTTGCTAAACAAGGACCATACAATTTACACTATCCATACTATTTTTAGCAACTGTCATAACATACACATATATCATAAGCAAAACATAAAACTACCTGTCAGACGCTTTATATAATAGTGATAGAAATCATATTCACTGCGAACCTATTCTTGCTTATTTTCCGAAGTACTTCTTTCACTACCTTTACAGAATTCTTTTTTCCTGACTTCTTCAACCAGAAAAGTTAGATCTTTTTCTCATGCTCGATGCCACATTTAGGTTTTCCCAGTAATATTTACCCCTCAAATCTTCATCTAGAAACACGCTCTAGCCATATAGCTAGTTCATGAAAATTTTTCTGCCGTATATAACAGCAATTTAACTAAATTATGTTTCAAAAGTAGCAAAACGAATTACGGTAATATATTTCTTCTTTGTGGGTAACCTGTTATTTCATGTTAATTATAAAGGTTACATCTTCATTTGAATGAATTTAATATTAGTAAAAGCATGTCTACATAAAGGAAAGAAAATATAGTAATAAGGAGAGTACAAATAAAGGAGAATATTCCCCATATTGAGGATATATTATTTCAAAGATCCCGTGAGGATCTCATGAAGATCATGTTTTTTGAAGATATATTGGAACACCTTGGATGATTGGATGAGTTTTGTTTGAGGTGTGGGAGGTGTGGTCAAAGGATGAGGGTCAGCCAAGTGTGGAGGTTAGGTGAGACTAAAGAGCATAACCTTTGGATTTAAGGCTTACAGTTTGGACTGGGGATGGATCTACAGAATGAAACTACTTGGCAATGTTAGGGGAATATCCGGAGGTGTGATATGAAATTTTTGGTCGAGATCATAAAAGTATAGTGAGTTTAGTGGAAGTGAATAATGAATATACAATTCGCAATAGATTCTGTAAATATTCTTTAGCGCCGTCAGCCCAGCCGAGAACTAAAACGCATAGCGATAATCTGTAGACATGCATGAAGATCATGTCTAATGAGGATATATTATTTCCTTGGAAGGGTCGATCTTTAGGTTTCCAATTGTTGTGATGGAAGGCTAAGTATGTGTGGAACACCCTTGGATGATTGAATGAGTTTTATTTGAGGTGTGGTCAAAGGATGAGGGTCAATCAAGTGTGAATGGTAGGTGAGACTAAAGAGCATAACCTTGAAATTCAAGGCTTAGGATTTGGACTGTGGATGGATCTAGAGAATGAAACAATTTGAAAATGTTAGGGGATATCAGGGATGTGACATGAAATTTTTGGTGGAAATCATAAAAGTTTAGTTGGTGTAGTGGAAGTTAGACCAAGATTAGATAGAGGTGCCCATACAGGGCAGATTTTGGCTAGTCCTAAAATATTGCCTTGGTGGAAGTTCTAATGGTGTCTTTGGGGGTTGAAGAGGCTTTGAAGTATTAGAGAGATGTGTGAATATCAAATTTGGTGGGAATTCAAGGGATTTTGAAGTTGAAGGATGAGGGAGGATATGACCAAGTCAAGTAATACACTAGTTTGCCAGCTCCCTACAAGAGGCTTGGGTAATTTTTTATTATTATAGGGAGGAGAGAAAACATGTACAATGATGCTGGAAATGTAGAAGAAGGGGTTAGAAGAGGTCGGTAGAGAAATCAACACGTAAAAAAAGATACCTGAGGCTTCCACCAAGAAAACCCAAGAGAGGGGTGAGGTGGAGTGTTCAGCCACCTAGCACACAAACTTCGAGTTTTCACTCCCAAATATTGAACTTTTATTACATCCGGTGAACGCACGCTCCTCTACGTTCGGTTTTAGATCAAAACAGCGCAATACCGAGTTTTTTGAAAAAACTCGGTACAACTCGGTACTCGGTACTCGGTACTCGGTAGCTCGATCTCGAGCTCGAGCTCGAGCTCATTAAGGACTAAACGAGCCAGGCTTGATAAGGCAAATACTCGACTCGACTCGACTCGTTTACACCCCTAGTTGGTATCAAAGCCTGGAGCTTGCGAAGATCGATGTATTGCAGAAGGTCGGCTGTCGACGACGATCGAAGCCGCAAAACAAGATTGGCGGTCGACGATGATCGACTCCAAGGAAGGTGGGCTGTCGACGATGATCGAAGCTGGATCGCCTTCTATCAAGCTCAATCGAAGAAGTCGCTCGATCAGGTAGATAGAAACCTTGATCGGATTCGCGAAACCCTTCGGTCAATAAGGAGGATGAGGATGTCGTCGGCAACCATACCGAGACATTCTTCTTCTTCGATCCCCTCGTCCGCTTCCCGCAGACTCCATCTATCCCGCCATACTCCCACGGTCGCTGATGATTACGCTCCGCTCGAACTCCCGCTCAAATGGTGTGATGCACCGCCGGAATACCCACTGCTCGAGCTTCCATTGCGATGGCGAGATCCTCTGCCTGATCGCAAAGTTCGCAAACATCCCTTGCCCAACGACTCGCTTCCGCATCCGCCTCCACAGACTACTTCCGCATCCTCTATTTCTCCGCCGATCTTCTCTACTGTTTCCGCATCCGAGCGCGATTCCGCGCCTGGCGGCGAGCGCGAATTCGTGCCTGGCGACGACCACGATTCCCTACCCGACGAAACAATCGTCTCAGCAACTCAACATGATCACAGCCGGCTCCTGCTCCCGGCCCCAACCCCATTTTCACCTTCTGTTCTGCCCGACGAAGTTTCCAGTTCGGACTTGCTGGACCGTGAGACTAATGCCGATCATGGCCTAACACCGAAAGAAAACATTTCCTCGCCGTGGAGGATAACTGATGAAGCAACTGCCCATTCCACCCCAGTTCAGCTAATCGGAACACGCATATAGCGCACGTATTCCATTCCTCTGGACTCGGAGATGCCAGATCCGACACTCACAGTTGATACTCCGATTCAATCTGACCACAGCTTGCCCGTCCAGTCCACTCGACTCAACTTGCCGACAGCAGCCGATCAGGCCACCGCCGACCCCCGCGCACCCAGCCGCCGATACCAGTCCTCCGTTCGGTCTGAATTCAACTCGATGGGTTTCTGAATCGGATTTGGAAGGACATTTCGCTTTCAGAGCCGGCCGAAGCCTTATGCTTCACTCGTCAGAATCTGATTATCTCCCTTCGCCTCACTCGTCGGAACCGATTATCTCCCTTCGCCGCTGAAACCTTTGATGGAGAGCCCGAGGCTCAATGCATCAGGTAAAGTTATTTTTCAGGGGCTCGAAATGGCCGTTTTCACGGCCACCGGCGAGGAGGCGTTGGAGCTTGACGCAGCAGTAGTCTGGCTGGGACCGATTGATTTTCAGATCCACTTTCCTCGGTGTGACTTCACAGCGTTCAAGATGATGGCGGGAAGCTACCTCGACGTGACAAAACATAAGCTATACGCGCAAGTTGAAAAAGGTTTTCAAAGTGGTGGAAAGCAGAGTCATGCTGAGCTTGGAGAGATCTTGATGGCTAGCCGTTGTTCACCTAGCAGGACAATTAAGAACCTTATAAGCGCTATGCAATAGTCAGTTTCTTCGAATCTGGCGACGGTGGAGAATAAAGAGGTTGATGTTATTTCAGTCCAGATGGGTATCTGCTCAACACATCCACTTTATTTTGGAGAAGCTACAACAATGACGGGAACATCACACAAGGAAGACAGAGCTTCGGCTTCCATACAGCCCTTGGTTGAGGAAGTCGTGAATAGTGATTGGGAGAACGCTCCTTTGGCAACAGCGGTTTAGTTTGCTAAGCGACGTGAGCGGCGAAATGGGGATATTGAGTTAATTGATAACTACTTTGTCACTGCAGGTGTGAAAATGCCTGGTATAAATTCTAGTGACAAGGCTGATTCAACACAACGCTCTCAAACTGTTCGACCAAATGTCAATAAGGGTTGTGATCTCAATTTGGAACTGTCAGGCTCTGGGAGCAAAGAAAATAGGAAACTTACATTTTATGGCCCCACTACCCCTATTGAGGAGCAAGGAATCAAGGAGCTCGACATGAGGCCTGGCGGTATTTCTTCTCTCTTCCTTATTACTGAACTCAAGGGCTGCAAAGAGTATCAATTGGAAAGTGAGAACTGGGACTTTTCTATTGCAAGCCTTGTTTCCTGCGCATCTTCTGTTAGACTAAGCAATTCTTGCGGAGATTCAATTGGTATCAAGATAACCTCTCTTGGTGCATTGCTTCAACAACAGCAACAATTTAGAATGCCATTTCTTGACAATGAGAGCAGACAACCATCCCTTCCTTCTGTTATTGTAATTAGTGCAGGATTTGCAGGCTTTGCAGGCTTTGCCGCCGCCCGTGCTCTCAAGAACGCATCCTTTCAGGTGGTTGTTTTGGGATCTGAGGATAGAGTTGGTGGTCGTGTGCACACTGATTACTCTTTTGGGTCTCCTGTTGACATGGGTGTCTCCAATGAAAATCCGTTGGCACCTTTGATTGGAAGACTTGGGCTTCCCCATTATCGCACCAGCAATGACAATTTTGTATTAATTGATCACAACATTGAGAGCTATGCCCTCTTTGATAATGATGGGAATCACGTCCCCCAAGAGCTTGTCAAAAAAGTTGGTGAGTTATTTGAGAGAATATTGGAAGATGCAAATGATGAGAACAAAATCTTCGATCCGAGAATCTGTCTTCTGCAATAATCTCTTTTTCAATAAGGCGTCTCGACGGAGTCGAGCCTTTTTTACGCTAGGGGAGAATGATGCGGTGCATTTTAAGCTAGGATAGTCCTTAGGAGTACTTTATCCATTTTGTTCTAGAATGCTCCTTTTGCTTTATAAATAGCAAGTTTTGTAATAGGGAATTCATTGAATGAAATATTAGCCTTTGAAGCTTGTGAAGCTCTCTTCTTCTTCTTCCCTGGATTGGGAATCCTAAAATCCTTCTTGCAGATATCATCTTCCGACGATCCACTACATCAGACATCCTCTCCAACTTCAAATTAGAAGGAGAATAGAAGGTTGGCGGATCAATAATCATTGATTAATTGTGTCTTCTTATCCAGTTCAAACAAAAGAATAGAGTAATAAACAATAAAAGAGAACATCCTCCATAATGAGGATAAATTAAAAAATTAAAAAACTATAAATTCCAAATAAATATTTAGCACATATGATTATAATAATATGGCAACCTAATAATTATAATAGATCCAAGAGGAATGTTATCGAATTGCTCAAGCCTCATCGGCTAGGTCACAGAAGTCATCAATTGTGGAGGATAGTAAGGGTAAGGAATAGAGATCACACTGGCTCAATGATCCCGAACAGCGAGATTGTGAGGAGCCTGCAACTCGAAGGAGGTATTGTGTGTCAAGGAGGGAGGGGAAAATCGTAGATGACGAATCCCGATGTCGACAAACAACTAGATCGATGCGAACAAGAGATAACTTGTGGCATTGATTCTAATACTATGGTATAAATCATAAATGCTACATCATTATTTGAATGAATTTGATGTTAATACAAACATATATATAAAGGCAAGAAAATATAACAATTAGGAAAGTATATACAAAAGAATATACTCCATAGTTAGGATATATCACAAGAATACATACCATGAATTCCTAATAAACATTTGGCATATGTGAAAATATTAATATGATAATCTAATAATTCTACTACTCTTAACATTTACGACCATCCTGAAGCTAATATTTTCTCTTGCTAATGCTTACTCTTTCTCCCAATCTATTCATTTGACCTATATGAATTTTTTTCGTAAAAAATTCACAACTTCTAAGTTTCAAAACCTGTATAAGTTTCTACCTCCTCAAGAATAGCTTTTAACATTCTACTTTTCTCTGGATTAGAAATAAAATCTACTAAAGGGACAGGATCTCCATCGCACATAAATAGTACAAATGAAGCAAATTCTGTCAAAGCAAACCTCCATGATGATTTGAGGATGAATTTTCATATCCTTAGTTCAATGCTCTACTATTGGCACTATCAATGTTAATTTTCATTGCAGAAAGCATACTCCAGCGCCTCCTATAGGAATTTCATCTCTGAAAATTCACATATCAAGCTTCACTTGCACCTCTAAAAAAAATACCAAATAAAGAAGGAGTTCATGTACACATTCTTACCCTACAATGTAAATAGATTATCTCAATGATTCAACCCTTGACCTCAGGACAAATGGACGCAACTTATAATCACTGCTTCAGGGAAGCCCTCGATTCTTCATCTTTAATCCTTTAAAATCAGCCTTCTTTTAATTATGATATCCACTATACTTAGCATAGATGGCTCATCAAACATTGCATCAATCCTCCTCACCACCTGTCATCATTGGCTCCCAACCATACTTCTCCGTCATTTTTTTTCACACCCGATCATAAATAAGGTGGCTTTGAACCAGTGCCTAGATCCACAGCTCGGTGAGGCCCACCTTTCTGCATGGCCAGGCTGAGCTTGCTTCCCGTGACTCCCAATTATATGCGCAACAAACTTAACAGAAATATAAATTGTCACTTCATCATTGAAAAGAGAGGGCTCAAGATCTATTTCATCATCCACAATCCCAAACACTTAAAGATGAAAAAAAAAAAGGTAAGAAGTGTTCATCCCCCTAGACCAGGCATTGAGGAACCCTCTAATATAAATTCATGTTTTCTCGTAACTTGTAAGAACCATAAGATTGCCAAAACAAAAAACAAAATTTAATAAAAGGAAATATCAAAGACGTCAGAGCTAAAGCGCGATTATAACATCAAAATTTGCACAAATACACGTTCTCAAAGCAGATCACCTGAAAAAACGCAATCCAAATGCACAGAATTCTCCGAAACCAGTAATAAGACTAGAAATCAAGAATCTCGTTCGAGACCCGCCTCAGTACCCCGACTCCACAATCCCCCTGAACGAACATTGAAGACTAAGAAAGCAGCAAAAGCTTGTAAATAAACAATGGACACCAAGCCCACAAATCTCACTCAAAAGAGAACAATCTAGAACCAGAAACCCAGTCTCAATGGGGAAAGAAGGCACCAAAGTTGAAAAGCGGCGGCGGCGGCGGCGGCGGCGGCAGCAGCGGCGGCGTAAACAAAGCTAGATGAGATAAGAATGGAGTGAAAAGAGTAGGAGAGGAAAAGAAGTAGGGGGCAAGGCTTCGACCCGCGTGGGTCAGTCAAACCCCGATGGGCCCATATTAAATGAGGACAGGGCCCGATGGGCCCCACGACTGCCAACTGGTTGACCATATATCGAATTTTGTTTCTTGCTGTGGATCCACACAAATATTGTAAATTTATTAAATTTCGTGTACTAAAAGGACAAAATTTTCTTCAGAATATCTTGCGGGGAATTTTTTTTTCAGAATATTCGAATTAAAAATATTATCATAAAACAATTTTAAATTATTAAATTTATTTTTTTAATGTGATAAATTACTATAATAAAACTTTCTATGGATAATTATTTTGTTTACATATATTTGATGGTTCAAATATATGGCCTAAAGGCGTCGGGATTAATTAGATCTTACATCTAAATTAATAAAATAAAGGTTAAATTAAATAATTTTCCAAAAAAAAATATCACATTTAATTAATTCACACGTGCTCATTTGATGAAAATAATTATTTTATTAATGGGAGGTGGCTACTAAAAAATAAGAATCCTAATTATAATTCTTATTGGCTATAAAAAAAATCATGTTTCACTTTGCCTTATGTGACTTTTCGATCCATCCAAATTAAGACTTTTGTTTTATTTGGTTAAAGCAACTTTTAGTATCAAATTTTAAAATTTGAAGCTTTTAGTATCAAAATTTTAAAATTTGAACTAAAAAATTATTTTAAAAAGCAGTAAAAAAGTGTTTCTAAACGAATCCAAAAAAGACAATGAAGTACCACACAGATCAGTATAGTTTAATGATTATATTTTTTTTTAGCTGAACTTTGATGAAATTAACGAACTTTTATTAGGTCCGATGTAAGGACGTAGAAAAACGTCTGATCGGAGGCAAAATCCCACCAAAAAACTCAGTATTGCTAGGTAGTAGTTGATAATAACGAGGAATACCGCTCTGTGAAGACCATTACCGAGTTATACCGAACTATACCGAGCAATACCAAGTTGTGCCGAGTTTTTTCTAGGAAAAACTCGGTAAAACTTTTGTATAACCCATTATAGCTCGGTGTAACTCGGTATTGGGTCTTCATGTGATGGTATTCCTCGTTATAGTTTGGTATTGCTCGGTATTTCTCGTTTTTTGGCGCGATTTGGCCTCTGACTGGACGTTCCTCTACGTCCGGTCGGAGGACGTAATAATTACTTTCAACGTAAATAAGCTGAGTATTCAACAAGCTATTTAAGTTTAACTCGAATACAAATCAAATAAGTTTAAATAATTTTTAAAATACTCAATTTTTAAATAAATAAATTTGAATAACTGTTTATTCTATTTATTTTTGTTTATGAATAACATGAATTAAAGTTCCTGAATAGTCTAGATAAAAAAAATATATATTTAAAATAAAATTTAATTAATAAAGTTAATTGTGAATCTGCTTTTATTAAATTGCTATTTTTTTTCTTTTGACAAAATATTTAGCATTCAAACACAGCTTAACTGAACTCGTTTTTTAAAAATAAATGCGAGAAAACTTTTCTCCATTAGGTACGTATTGTGAAATCTATGAGAAAAAATCATTAAACATTCACAAGCATTTTGACCAAGTACAGAAGTATTTTGTTTTTTATAAAATTCCCCAAAAAAGTTTATAAAAAAATAGATTTATTAACTCTTTTTGTAAGCCGACCATTAATTTTGGAACATCCCTTAATTGTAGCCGTAATTATTGCTTAATCAAGAAAAAACTCATTAAGGACATGATTAGAAGCCACTCCGCGACACGGGATGAACAATATTAATATATAATGATTTTATTGTCTCGTATTATTTTCATTTGTTTGAGCCTACTATATATATATATAACTCATAATTTGTACTTCAAATATGTTAAATGTTTAGTATGTTAAATAGAAAAAATAAATTTTTTAAAAAAATATTTTTGATTATTTTGAAAATTAAAAAATTAAAACTTGAAGATAATTGTATCAAAACATAAGGAAATAATGTAAAGAAGATTTTGATTTTAATATAAAAATCAAATAAAATTAAAAATATAAGAAAAATTTTCCAAAACAAATCAAGAGAAATATGGTGGCTAGAATCATTTCATCATGCTTAGTTGCATAACATGCTGGGAGTGACGAACGGGAATTGGGCTGGATCCGAGTTGCAATTTTTTTTTTCCCGTATGTAATAATAGGTCGGGTTCGGGTCAGGTCAAACAGTTGCGGGTCAATATCGAGTTTGATCCGAACCCCACCCGCAACCTATTTTTGGTACCCCTATAACTAATATGTCACCAAAAAAAGCATTGATCGAGCATGAATCTCCAAGCATGTTCAAGTTGGAAACTTCTGAAATTAAATGTAGGATCATCCAAACTCCAATTTAAGCAAACTTATAATCAAATTAAATATCTTAATGAGATGAATCAAATGACACCAAAATCTGTTCAATCCGAGCCCAAATGGGTTCAAATCAATGGGTCGAAGCATATTTAGAAAGTTCAAAGCAATAATTGGATGACAAAGTGATATCTAAATATGGAATGCTTATAGTCGAATTGAGTGTATGGACGAGAATAATCCAATGAGCCCAAGACAGCTTAATTCTGACATGAGTATGGCACATAAATGCTTAAAAACGCCCCATGTTTGAGGGAATCAGTATGGGTCGTCCGATGGAGTACTATGAAATATGTCCTAGATCTTCTCCATATTTATAAGGTGAGACACTCGCCAAAATCTATAAATAAACCTCTACTTTCTACATAAAGGTGACTTTTGGCTGGAGATTGGAGAGAACTCTAAAACTTCAAGGATCTTAGAGTTCTAGCTAACTACCATTGTAAATAAACTTCTGAAGGCCACTGTCAGGTTGTCAATCGTTGTAGGACCAGTACCACCCGTCCACAGATCTTTGTCGGCCTCCGACCGTCCAGTGATCTCTACTAAACCTTTGTCTGACCGTAGATTATTATTAGATTGTATAACGTCGCCAGACCACTGCCCGTCAGAAAACCATCACCGAACCTCTGCCCATCACACAGTCTGTCTACAACTGCTAAACCTCCGTTAGACATTGACTGCCGCTAGACCATTACATGTTCATCAATCACCACCGGCCACAAACACCCGACTACGTTCCTTTCAACCTCAGTCTCCCACTAATTACGTTCCCTCTAGCCTCTGTCGTCCACTGACTATGATCCCTTTGATTACCATCACTCGTCGACTACGGTCCCTTCGATTTCTTCTCCGCATCATGCTGGCTATAGTCTCTTTAACCTACATCGCCCACCGACAATTGTTCCTCAGAGCATCGTTGCTCTCCAACAGTAGTCCCTCCGACCATCATCGCCTATGAATTACAGTCCCTCCAACCATGATGGCATGCCACTTACGATCAATCTGATCACCGTCACCCACCAATTAGGGTCCCTCCAACCTCTGTTGTCTGCCTATTACAGTCCCTCAAATCACTGTCGTGCATCGACTACGAGTCTACGATCCCTCCAACTTATGTCGCATGACTATGGTCGTATACCAGCTAAATGAACAATCCAATATTCTCTTGAGAATAGCTCTCCTATCATTGAATTCTTCCAACCCAACTATATAATATGCTTTATATGATGTACATTAAGTCAACGCCTTCCCTTGAGAAAATGCCATCATTTGTAATCAATAAAAAATATTGTGGATTCATTTTAACTATGATATTCTCGTGATTTTTTCCCTATTTAGAATTTTTCACGGAAAAAATATTGGTGTTTCTTATGACTCTCACATCCCTCTCTATTATCTTGCAAATTGTAATTCAATTTATCCAAATAAGAGGGAAAAAAAAAAAGAAAAAAAGAAAGAAAGAAAATGATACGTGTAAGGAATTAAAAAGCAGTAATTCATGATATTTATATTTATTTTCTTAAAACTATTATTAGATTTTGAAAAAATATATAATTGAATTTAACAAAATTATATTTGAACACAAGAAAACAGAATACAAAATTTTAAAATTTAAAAAAAAAATTCCATTTTATATTCCAAAATAATATAATATATATTTTTTAATTTAAATTCATCCCAACACGTTTTTGCGTGAGGAGACTTTGATAAGAAAAAATAAATAAAAATGATTTTGATGGCATAAGCTAACATTCCAATTATAAGGAAATAAGTTGACCGATCTGGTTTGGAATTATTAAAATTATTTGACTTTTTAATTCAAATACTTTTCTTCTCGTCGACTGAGAGAAATAGCATGTGGTCTGATCTATAATCTATCTACCGACTATTGTAGCTATTCGTTTCTTCTAATCAACAAATGCGGCTCTAAGATGTTAAGATATTTTTTATGTACATTTGATCATAATAGTACATATCAATTTTAAAATTTTAGAACTTAGGCTTCGTCTGAGACAACTTTTTATTATTTTTTAAAACAAAGTTTTAGTTTTGTACTAAAATTCTATTTTAAGAAGCAATCAAAAAGTCGTCTCAAACGGAGCCTCCGTTTGGGACGACTTTTTATTGATTTTTAAAACAGATTTCTATTTTAAAAATTAAAATTTCTATACTAAAAATTGTTTTAAGAAGTAGCAAGAAAGACTTTCGTTTTATTACTCTTTAAAAAGTTTCACAGTACAAATTTTTTTTGAATATACTAAAACATTGCTTTAGAAAACAGTAAGAAAATTGTCCCAAACAAAGCCTTAAGCTTCGTCTGGGACGGCTTTCTTCATGTTTCTTAAAACAATGTTTTAGTTCAAAAAACTTAATTGTCATACTAAAAAAACCGCTTTAAGAACATGAAGAAAGCCATCTCAAACGAAACCTTAGACTCATAAGGAAAAGCACCTACCATATGTGAATATGGCGAACATACAAAAGAATGATAAAGAGGTCAGACACTACAAATAACATCAATATTTATATTTCACTACAAAAATAATACCTTGCATCCAAAGAGAAAAGAGTGGGACTTTTTTACTG